ATTTGCCATTTTGTAGCTATGTTCTGAAATAAAAACATCCTGTGGAAACAAATGACTTTACATTATGAACTCTATTCAAACTGATTTAAAACAGGGACCTGTTCTCTGCAAAGGATATTAAGAATGTTAAAGTCAGGCCAGGGATTTAGCTCAGTGGTTCTGCTGCTTGCCTTGTAAACGCAAGGTTCTGAGTTCTCTCCCTCGTACCAAAAAAAAAATGTTAAAGTCAAACTTGTCCTCCTTGAGGTGAAAGTTTGCTTGGGCTTAAAAGAGATACAGTATATTAATCACATCTTTTATCGTTATTGCTTATTTCTTAGAATCATTCTGGCTTTTTCAAAGTGAAATAATATTAACAAGTACATCTATTCTGTATTTTTCTGACTTTAGCCTTTGAGACAGCTAGTAATTATCAAGACATTCTGCATTTCTAAAAACCTAATTTTTAAAAGAATTGTCTTATTTTGACTATGTACAGTACCACCTACTAGATATAATGATTTTTGTACCTAGAAACACTGCCACTTTCTTAGTGATGAGCTGTGGAGTAACACTATGATTTAAAACTTGCAGTAAAAATGCCAAACACTGCATTACCTTGGAAGCCGTTTTTGCTTGTGCTAAAACTGAAATAGTTAAAATATCACATAATTTGCTCATTATACAGGTAATGCTTTGTTTTTATTCCATTTGTTTTATTAACTTACGTGGTAATGATGTCCTGTACTTTTTGGTCAAACAGTTCGAGGTGAAAATTAAAACTTTTTTTTGGTACTGGGGATCGAACTCCGGTCCTTGGGCTTGCGCAGCAAGTGACGAAACCACTGAGCTAAATCCCCGGCAATTAAAACATTTTTTTAAGGAGCTCTTAAAGAGTTAACATTTAAGTCATACTTCATAAGTGGTAAAGGCCCAAAATTTGGAAAAATTTGGTTGGGCATAGTAATTGCACGACAGAATTAATTATGTCAAAATAAGGATGTGCTACATTTAGGTCCAGAGCTAAAAGATCTTTCGATTAAGTAGTATAACCAGAACTTTTTACTATTAAACATGGCTTTTCTAAATGCATGGTCCAGTAATTTTATTTACTGCAGTATTTAATACCTTATTAATGTTTTCTGCACCTCTGATGATGAATTTTAAGTTACTGTGATTGTCCAACAGCTCTAATTTAAAAATGAAACTAGGTAGGAAATAAATTTGATACTTTTTTATTAAAAAAAATAATAGTTGGGAAATAAACTTTAAGATTTACTTTTTCAGACAAATTTAATCTTTAATATTGAACATATATACAGTTAAATTATTATATTGAAAGCCTGCAGCATGTTGTTCAGTAACTGTGCTAATTAGTGTGTGTTTATTTTCTCAGCAAGGTGTGTGGGAAACTCTGCTAGCAGCTCTGGAAGTCCTCATTCGAGTGGAGCACCATCAGCAGTGGTTTAATATTAAGCAGTTACTGAACGCTCAAGCAGTTCATCATTTCCTACTGACTTGTCAGGTTTTGCAGGTACTTTTTGTTTCTCTTCTCAGTAACTCAGTACCACAGACATCAGATTTTTGTGGGATGTTCAGTGGGATTTTCCCTCTTTTCCATTTTATGTCCTCTCCAGGGTTTTAATCTTTTTTTCAACTCTTACCTCTTGATCTTTACATTTGCCATGTATCCCAAGTCAAATTTCAAAAAGGAAAAAAAAAAACAGCTACCAATTTTTTTTGTGTTGAGATATAATAATAATTTTTTAGTCTTTTGAACTATAATAGTTTATTTATTTATTTATTTTTGGTACCAGGAATCGAACTTCTGTCCTTCCACTTGCGAGGCAGGCCGCAGAACCACTGAGCTAAATCCCCAGCCCTGAACTATAATAGTTGATGAATCTTCTTCTATTTTTCCTTAACTTATGACTATTTATTGTTTAAATAAGTATAATTTGCTGTTTTATATTCTAGAATTAGCATCTTGAATAAGGTGGCATTGACTTCACCAGTTACATAGAAATGTCTATGCCCTGGGGCTTGTAATTAAATCTTTTCTCTCTTTAAACTTCTTTTTATCTGTCTGGCTAATATATTGGGCTATTTTTGAATTTTTTAAATTTCTGAGTCATCTCTTAGAATTTTTTCAGGTTAGATAAGTGCAAGATATTCGTGGGATAAGTAACATTTTATGTTTTTAGTCCTTTGCTTTAATGGCACTAGGGGCTTCTGACGGTAGAGAATCCAAACTTTGAAACAACATCCTTAAGACAGTTTGTACGATCTTGTCTTAGTTACTTTTCTAGTTTCTGAGACTACCCAACACCCATAGTTGAAAGAGGAAAGGTTTATTTAGCTCACAGTTCATAGAGGTTTCAGTTCATAGTTGTGCACCACCATGCCCAGCTTTAACAGCTGTGCATAGCTTTATGATAGGTATTGTGAGAAATAGATAAAGAAATGAACTTAAAGTCGTGATGATATTTTAGGAAGATTAACAAGTTAATTGTATATTGGATAGAAACCAGCTTCATTAGCTTCTGAGTATAGTATAATAGGCCTCAAGAAGTGGGAAACAAATATGATAGGGATTATAAGGACAGAATTGATAGGACTTGATTCTATTTAAATTGGAGATTCAGGGGCTGGGGATTTAGCTCAGTGGTTTCGCCACCTGCTGCACAAGTACAAGGACCCGTGTTCGATCCCCAGTACCAAAA